CAGTGGCAGCATTGGAAGGGCACCTGGACACCTCATCCAAGGCCCAGGATCCTCTTTCCTGAATTCTGAAGGTGCTGTTGGAGGAGTTACATTCGTTTGAACAGCTCAAGAGGTCAGAGATTTATTTTTAATGAATTATTTTTCCCAGCCTTCTTAAATCTAATGATCAACTTCCCCTTTTTATAGTGGTTGCAGGGTTTGAGAGGCAGCAGAGAAAATTTGATTTGGGTATAAATTACCATTTTTTTAACAAGACTCTTAAAAGGGAGAGGAGTGGTATTAATATTTCACATTGTTGGGAGAGGAAAGGCCTGGCATTGCCAGGGCAAGAAGAGTCACAGCACCTGTGCTGATCTCACCCAGATCTTTGGCAGGAATGATGGAATTGCTCATCAGGAATGGAACAGAAAACAATTGTGACACAAAGCCAGAGCAGCCTGCCTCAGGAGGTGCCATCACTGCCATCACAGGAGGTTTCAGTGAGCTGGAGAAGGTGACAGAAATAGGTTGTGTGTTAAAAGAAATGTGAGGAGGTAGAAGATCAATTCCAAAAATCAAACCAAATTAATTCTTCCTTCTTTTCTTTTTGCTGTGTTTCCTTTCCAAATCAAGGAAGGGGCAGGAGTTTAGGAGAGTCTGGTTCAGGTGAGTCCTGCTGAAAAAGCAATGTGGGTTTCCCTGATCAATCTGTTTAATTAACTAAAAATGCAGAATTGAAGAAGTTGTTGGATATTTTTGCTTTTTTTCTGCAGTTGGCTGCAGAAAACTTTCTCAGACTATTGGCTGAGGGTTGGGGGTGTCCAGCCTGGAGAAGAGAAAGATCTGGGGAGATTTGATTGAGGCCTTCCAGAGACCTAAAGGGAGCCTGAAAGAGCTGGAGAGGGACCTTGGACAATGATCTGGAGTGCCAGGACAAGGGGGAATGGTTTACACTGAGCAGGAGAGATTTAGATGGGACATTGGGAAGGAATTCCTGGCTGGGCTGGAATTCCCTGGAGCAGCCTGGGACAGTGGGAGCTGTCCCTGCCATGGCAGGGGTGACACTGGATGAGCTTTAAGGTCCTTCCATCCCAAACCATTCCATGATTCCAACCCGGAGAGAAGCTGGTTATGGAGCCAGCAGTGTCTGAGGGGGCTAAAGCACCTTCCCAGCTGGTGATCAGAACAGAATTTCACACATTTTATCCCTGTCTTTGCTGAGAGGTGATGGGAACAACAAGCAGGAGCATCCCCAAGCCCTGGCAGTGGGACATTTGAGGAGTGACACTTTTATAACCATCATTGGCTTTGTGGCTTACCCTGACACAACAGAACCAACAATAAATTGTCCCTTCAGGGCCAGCATTTAGTGCCAGCTCAGAGAAATGCAGCATGGCTGTGGCAGGTATTAAACACCCTGAATAAATCCTGCAGGAGGATCCCAGGGTAACAATGCCCGCTTGCCAAATCTGTTTGCAGAGTGCACAAAGCAACGAGGAAAACATTGCAACAGCACAAAGGTTTCCTTACAGAGCCAGCCCAGGCTGCTGCCTCAGCAAAGCTCTTTGCTGGTGCTTTTCTGCCAGCCCCAAACTGGGATTGAGCCAGGCACAGGGACTGGGATGCTGTGGCTGTAGGATAAACC